GGGGCCGATAATACGGCTCATTAAATGATTTGGCCACGCGTCAAATAACCATCAAATTTAATTTTCCAAAAGGCAGGGCACTTCCACGGCTGAATTAGGCATACAATTCGACGCCGACACCTGCTCGTCATGGCCTTCTGCTGGTCCCAAGTCGCACCTGGCTGCCCTACCCGGTGTCGTTCTAGTAATTTCCCGTCCATTCTAATGACACAGAATTTTGATAAGCATACATTAGGCAACACAGAAGTTTGTGTGTTTGTAATTACCAATCACTATAAGCCAGCAGGATAGGGCTCTTAGATAAGTTTATCCAAACGAGATTCAGCGTTGCTTGTTTCGATTCGATTCGATTCGATACAGGACACGTCTGCAACTTGGTCTGCCGGCGGCTATAAAATGGCATTTAAATCCCTGCCATGAGAATCCGACCCAAGCCAAGCCAAGGAGAACAATTAATACTCGTGTATTGGTTATGCAACAAAAACCTTTTGTTTTTAGTGCCACTCCAGAGCACTGCTCGAGCTTCAACAACACACACACACATCAAATTGAGATCCTCATGCATGCCTTAGGTAAGGTTTTGGTAGGTTTTGGGTGGTGTGGAAGCTTAGAGTGGTGTGGTTTAGTGCGGTGTTCCCTGCAGGTAAAATAAATTATTATTTATTACGGTCATTAGAGCTTAATGGCGGCAATGATGTCCACCACGCAACGGGTAACGGACCAGCCGAGCCACGGGCAACGTGGCCGGGCCGGGCCGCGGACTTCCGCCTCTTAATCGAAAACGAAAGAGAAACATTTGCGGCCGGACAACCTTTCTGCCGTAGTCCCAGATCCCACTCACACTCCCCGGATCCCTTTTTAATGGCAACCGGTTCACATTATGTGGCCTGCGTATTGTCCTTGAAAATAGTCCGCATGGCTGGAGCGGACGGCAGCCGACAACAGAAACAAAACCGAAAATAAAGAAAGAATGCCAGAATGGAAAGAAGAAAGAAATGCGGTATGGAAAGCGTTTATCGTAAATTCAAGTCGTTATTATCTGGCCGGGAGGTGTCGGCGTGTGGAAATATTTATGCATTGCTAAAGTTGTGGCCCGGCCATCATAAATATGCTGCTGGTGCTGGGCAGAGTAGGGAAGGCCCACAAAAAATCAGGCCCACAAACCCTTGCCCCAACACCAAAGTGTACTCGGGGCCACCCACTCAGAGGGAAAGGCATATTAATGGTGCTCCGCCTGACACATTGTAAATTCAAATGCATTTCTCACGCTCAGCCCGAGGACTCTGCTTGGAAGGCAAGGAAGCGAGCCAAAAACTTTGCCCAAAGCTTTCACCGCAAAGTGAAAACAATCAATCAAAACTCAAACACACACTCGCACACACACACTCGCACACACACACATCCACATAGTGAGATATGCAACGTTTGGAGGCGAAATTAATTTCATGCATTTATGAAAGCGACAATTTGCATAAAACAGAGACCAAGATTTCGAGCTGGAGGATTTCGTGGCAAAGCGATAAAGAAAGTGAAAGCTTTTGGCCCAGATGATGGACTACCCGCACCCAACTGGATAGCCAGAATCTCAGCTTTAGCTGAAATTGATGGCCATAAAAATAATTTAAAGCTTATAATTGATCGAGGAATTCGATTATCAATCAATACAAATATTCTCTAAATATTTGAGCTGATTATGGGTTGCATTGATGCGCATCTTCATGACTCTCGTGGTTATGTTGCACAACAGTCAATGGCACAAAAGGTGGATTAAAACTCATGATAAACTATCTCTAAAGAGAGGATCGAATGGGCCAACCCAAAGGGGTCAGTCAGACCAACTGATCGGTCTAGCTGTTCGTTGGCACACCTCGAACAGCCTTAAGGTGCTTTCTGAGTTATATCAAGAATACCACAGCAATGTCTCGTCTTTGGGGCGTTCGGTTGGAACTGGCAGTGGAACTCTTCTCTGTTGCCCGGCCGGGCACACACGGCTGAGGCGCATGTCGCTCTGTGCGATCTGTGTAAATTTATGTTGCGCGTTTGTATGTTGAGTTTATAATTTCTGACACCAAATTGCATGCACATTTCCCTGACGTGTGACTGTGTGCCATGCAGTAGTATGTGTGTTAGTGCATGTAATTGCGCTTGTAGTTGGGTGTACTGTGCGCGCTTCCTTCGCTGGTACAAGTTTCTTTGCGTTCTTCTGCGTTTTGTCCCTACTCCTCTGTGCCTCTGCTTCTTTGATAAATGCGCATAATTTCAGTAGTTTTTCTTGAAGGAGCAAAGGAGCGAAGGAGCGAAGGAGCGACGGAAAAGTTATCCTACGGCCCAGCCCGGCGCGACCCAGTCCCGTTGGGAGTTCAGAGTAGAGGTGTGTTTGTGTGTACTTGTGTATGTAATAGTCTTGCTGCTGCGCTTTATTGTTCGCAGTGCCGCGTTAAACATTATCCCGGATGGCTGGCGTGGGTGGATGGGGCTGATGGGCGATTGGGTGAATGGGGGGATGGGTGGGTTTCAGTTGAGTTGTCTTGGCGCGAATTATGAACACGATTACATGACTTTATAGTTGAAACTATATGTTCATATGTGTGTACGTACGTCTGGCGCATAGTTGCCACTGCTGTACCCCCTGCGATGGCGGTAGGCGTGTCTGCGGGGTGTCTTCACATATTTATGAGCAGCGGTGCGCTGCGACATCGCCTGTCGCTGGCTTAATGAAATACCTGCCAAGATTTATGTGCCGGGAAGACACACGTGGAAAGGCAAAAACGAAATTAATTTTCTATGAAAACAGTGCAGTCACGTATTATTAGTTATTCGGCGGCGAACGCTCCTGTCAGGGTACAGGCAGGATGCAGCAGCTCCCATGATGCATCAAGGATAAGTCCCTGTAAGCCAGAGGGGGCCCAAGAATACTAAAAAAAAAAAAAAAAAACAGAGACTAATGGTCCGGTGGTTCGAACCAGAGCACAGAAGATTACCTCGGCTACAGCTCGGATACAGAATTTACATACTCCGCCAGATGGAGCACATATGTACATAGGTACATAGGTTGTTAGCTTTACTCTGCTTTTCTAGGCGCTATTATGGAAAATACATCGGTAGCTGGTTTTATTTTTTGTTTTTCAGTTTTCAGTCAGCTTTGAGCTTCTTTGAGCAGCTTCCTTTCACCTGCCGCTTGCCGCATGGCAGTAAACTGTTCCTGCCTCTTTCCGGCAAATAATTCAGCTGAAAAATTCATAAAGTTGCCCCACACACTCTGCTATCTGTGTCGCTTGTGGGGACTTCCTCTTTGTCCCCGGCCTGTGATTGCTGCTTGGTGTTTCGTGCTTTGTGTTTTTCTTTAATTGTTTAGAAAATAAATCAGTGAACGGGGAAATAAGTTTACAACACCACATGAAATAAAAACGAGCGAACCAGTCGCGAAAATGGAGCAGTCAGGGCTGGCCGTGGAGTGGCGCCGGTGTGTGTGGGGAGGGGAGTGTGTGCTGCGCGCTAGCGTCGAGCGGAAACGGAACTAACAAAGCACAAAACGAAACAAAAATTCCCCAAAAAAATAGGCGAAACTCAACTGCTAAAGTAAGAAAAATACAGAGAACAAAAAACGGCAAACGAATAAAAAAAAACGAACAGAAGCGAAGCGAACGGAAAAGCAAAATTGCCAAACTAAAACTTTGCTGCAGTCACGACAGAAAAGGCAAAAAAAGAAAATGCTGCACGAACCGTGGGGTCTTGATGGGTGTGGGATAAGGGGAGGGTATAAATAGAGTAGCACACACACACACACAATACCTAGGCGATGGCTGGGAAAACTTTGGTTCTTTTGGCCTGTAACAAGCGTGGCAAAGCACAAAACAATTTACGAAAATTTGTACAATTTCTAAACTTAAATAAACACTACGAATAGTTTTATTTTTATTATTACTGCCACCATTTTTCTTTATCCCCCATACCCCCCACACACAAGTACAAACACATACCACCCATCACAAAAACACGCGGACACACGAAGGGTTCGAGAAAATGGGGTCTTAAATATTTTGTGGCATTCTTATGGACGCCTTAAAGCAACTTCCTGCTATGCGGGCTGTCGTCAACTATTTCTCTGCTTTGCAATTATAGATTTTAATTAAAGCTAAATGAGCAGCTCAAGGCTCGGCATGCCCCAGACGCAGGATGGGGGAATGTGTGTGGCGGCGGTACGGTGCAGCGTGTCTCAAGTTCAACAAACTGTCCTCGCAGACACGCAATGGCATGGAATAATTCAAATGTGGCCAATGCACTTTTTAGTGGTAAATTAACAAGCGCAAAACTTGAGACCAAGCCCGAGCAAGCGGCGTGGCGACGAGTTTCAGAGCGATGGCGCGCAACGGGCTCAAATTGAAAAACTTTTTCAACTTGCAAGTTTCGTTCTCCTTTAAATGTTGCTAACAAGTTTCCAGCAAGGATTCATTGCACCCCGCTGGCAAACAAACAAGTTTGCAGCACACACAATGCGATTGGGAGAGCGAACCGGCAAGCGGCTTAAACGCCTCATCCTCCGACCCTCGTCCCCTGTTCCCTGTTTCGTACGCGTAATTTGTGTCAGTTTCAAAAAGAGATTCATTTGTCTGTGGAAAGTTGAAAAGCAGTATGAATATGGAATCAATAGAGGAAACCAATAAATAAATAGAAAACCTGAAGATATGTACATAGGTACATGCACAGTGGTATCTACTCGTACATATGTACTACATACATACATATGTGCAATGTTTTAGCTGGGACTTAGAAGCGATAGTGTTATATCTATCAGATGAGCGCTTGGGATTAGATTTGATCATTATTTTAGCTGTTCGGAGCAGCAGCAAATATATAATTGTTAAGATCAGCTCGACTTGTTTATATTTATACTCTCTTTATAATCTCTTATATTAATATGCTATTGTCGCGCTCATCGCTCCCTCACAGCACTCGTCTCACAGTGCTTAAATTGCTTCGCCCTTTTCTGCGGACCAGTCAAAAATATTGTCGATCGCCGCTCATCTCCGAGCAGTCCAATTATTTTCTATGTCCAATGCGAACCCGTTATTTTAATCGAGCTCTAAATTAATGTGAAGTTTAACGCACCGAATCGTAGTTCACGGCCACGCCCCCTATCAATTGTATAAATTCGTAAAATAATAAACAAATATATCAAAAACTAAAACGGAGAATAATTGTCGTAAATGTGGAGTCAGAGTTGCCGAAAAAGCTCGGCAGCTTCCAACAATAGCCTTTGCTTATGCTTGCTTTTTGCGTGCTTTAAAGTGCATGCAAATTCTGATGCATGCGCGAACAATTGGTCCATTATTAGAGTCGTTGATAGGACTCCTATGGCTGTAAATAAAAATTGCGAAAATTAAAGCCATTCAAGTGCAGCGTAGCGGAAACGGAAATGTACGCAAAACAATTACCCGAACACAAGAGATGCAAAATGGCCACGCACGAACACAGACACAGCTACAGCCACGCATATACCCGTGCGTACGTATGAGTGGATACAAGTGCATTCAGTGTAACTACAATGTCGGCACTTCAAGGGGAAAATTTATATAATGCGCATTTTTATGCAGGCACTCAAGTGCAATTGCAATCAAAATGCGCTACGCGACGTTTCCATTTGAATTCGTGGGCGTGTGCGTGGATACGGGCGGGAACAATAAGCTGATCATCCACATCCAGCAGCCCACAACGCTGGCCACAGAATGGACATTGTTACGGCTTGCTGTCCCATTTATGGCATTCGTAATGCTATTTGACATAACTTTCCTGCTCTGCAAGGGAAAATGGCAAATGGATTCGGACGAGAGACCTCCCTCAAATAATTATCTAATTTCGCCACAGGCCAATGTAATTACGATAATTACAAATGCTAATTAAAAGGCCAACCAATGCGGGGAGCACCAAATTGATTTTGGCTCAGCCAACTTTTGAGAGCTGCAGTTAGTGGCCAAAACTTTTGTACCGAAAACTGTGTGGCCGCCGCTGGAAATTAAACGGAAGTGAATTTAGTTGGTTATCCCCCGCAGCGTTGAGCAAGCAACACCCGCCGAGACAGAATTCCCTGGTTTGATAGCAGTCCATCATATCAATCATACGCAGTGTGATGCAACTTTTGGTCTCTTCTGCTGTCAGTAAATGGCTAACTCCGCAAATAAACATTTTAATAATTTACTATCCATCGCAATTACTGTCAGCAATAATACACGGTCCTTTCACATACTTATTTATGCATGTTCCTGTGTGTCTCTCTTCTCTCTCTTTCTCTCTGAATGTTTACCATTTTGGCATGCCGTTACATTTCCGACAGCATGGCCAAACGACTGCAATAACAATATGGCCAGGCTCAGCGCCCCATCGGAGTGCATTATGCAACTAAGGCATAGCCAGGCAGGACCAGGAGCCAGAGCGAGAGCGAGAGCGAGAGCTAAAGCCAAAGCCAACGGACGAGCAGGGCGAGAGCAAGAGCAAAAGCAAGAGCCAGAGCCAGAGCAGAAGTCAGAGTCAGATGACATGCTAAACAAAAGCTACAAAATGAAGTATGAGGTCAGACCAGAGGGAAACAAAGCACGAAAGAAAAGCACATGATTGTCGCTTGAAACTTGAGCCACAGCAACTAACCTCATGACATCAGCTTTTTGGTTTTCAACTTATTACAATTTCCATATAACCTCTAAAGCGCCAGAGGAAAGAAAGAAATATCCAGAAAGAGGTGGTGGAGGAGGGGAAACAGAAGGACGACTGTTGGACTACGAGAGTGTGTGCAAAATGCAAACAAATGCGCATATGCAGTGCGAGTGGAATGAAAGGAGAGCACAGCAACATAAAGAGAATGAGGAAGAGGATGGAGAGGGGGAAGGGGAAGGGGAAGAAGAAGAGAGTGGGCAGAAAGAGGCAAAGGCATGGCAAATGCCATGTCCTTCAGCGCTTGCCCTCGCCCAGGCACTAGGCAAAAGCAAAGGCAACAGCAAAGGCAAAACTGCTGTGGGGGTCTTTAAGTTTTATGGCACCATTGTGTCAAGATAATAATATGTACGTCTATGTGTGCAAGCTGTGTCCGTGTGTCTGTGAGCGTGTGTACGTGACTGCATTTAAGTGCATAGTTGTGTTGAGCAGCACTCACACATTGAGAATTCAGATACATAAACAAGCATTCCTCTGGCATGACATTTACTCTGCGAATTACTCTAAACTGCTGCATTTGTGATACTCGTACTCATACTCTTACGACACGGCACGAGAGTGCGAAAGAAGCAAAGTACCAGCAAATATCATGCTATATAATCGTACAGTATATGTACATACGAACGCTCAGGGCCACACCATTAGATCCACAACCCCAAAATACCCCCAAGGATCCCACCCATAAGCCGGGCAGTATAATCAATTTAAATGAATTGTACACGAGTGTGTCATAAATTTGGGCCGCATGACATTTGCTAATGTTTGTCCATGAGAGCGCCGTTAATTAAATACCATCGCACACTTGGCAAGCGTGGCGAGCGGAAAATGCGGAAAATCAGGAAATCGCAGAGCAGAGCCCCGAAAGCCGCATAGTTTTGTAATTAAAATGAGCGAACGCTTTGGCAATTTTGCGGGCGAATTTCAATTTTAATTTATGTGCACAACGCTTCTCAGACTCGGATTCATTGACGCTGTTTGCTCGACAAGTTTAACACAGACCCGATCATAAAACGACGAAAATTTAAGAGCTACTCCATATTCAGCTCCTGCTCCGATATAAACAAAGAAATAAATATAAAAAACTTGAGAAATAAAAAAAACCGAAATAGAAGAGCGAAGAAAGAGCGACTCAGCAGATAAAAATGAGAAGGGACGTGAAAGACGCTTCTTACGCGTCATAACTTTTATACCCGGCACTCAGTACTACATCTGCACTTTAGCGGTGTTTTTCACATTCGGGGCGGGGTGGGTTTAGCCACTGCAAATAAATTTCTTCATGGCTATATTAATGATCCAATCGGATCCCAATTTGGTAATCTGATAGATATGGTCAGTCCCAACGGAATGGCGTTTTTACTTTTCTTTTATCATTTTCGAAATTTTTTAAATACACTTGTAACAGTGTGAGCATACAGAAGTCTGGATGCAAAATTTGGTGGCTGTAGCTTTTGTAGTCTCTGAGATCCAGGCGCTCAACAAGACGGACGGACAGACAGACATGGCTCAATCGACTCGGCTATTTATGCTGATCAAGAATATATATACTTTATGAGGTCGGAAACGCTTCCTTCTGTGCGTTACATACATTCAGTTTGTGCACAAATACAATATACCCTATTTACTCTTCGAGTACCGGGTATAATTATGACATCGTACAAAAGTTTGACCAAGTTTCCAGTGCTCTTCGCTTTTTATGCGCCGAGCATAAAAATTTAAATAAACTCACTCACGCGTGCATGCAAATAAATACAAATTTAGGGAGTCCCAGACTCCACCCTCGAAGCTCTGCCGGAGCCATAGCCACACTCCTACTGAGTGGTGTCCAGCATTCAGGTCCAGCCCGGGCAATTGTTCAGCCATTCATTCGTTGGCCGCGGTGGGCGCTTTGCATAATCTCGGACAAGTTGCTCCCGCTCGCACTGACCTATAAATAATGTGGCAAATTTGGCAGAGCAATAAATAAATTTCATTCTATATGCAAATGAATTACAATCCCCGCAATCTATCTAGCCAGAGTTTTACCGAACAAATTAATATTTTAATTGGGGAGCGATATTGGTCCACATCTTTAAGATCTTAAATTTTCGTCTGGGAATCTAATACTTATGCACTTTGTTACCCTCTTTCTGCTTTCCAGATAATGGTCTGGGTGCTACCACAAAACTCTACAAAGGACTCTCAGAAAAAGTGCTGGTGCTCTCAAAGGACATTACATTAGAAACGATTCATCATCGCCCCTACCATTGTTGTTGCCAAAACAAAGCAAGAAAGCAACACGAAGCACGCACTACAGCAAATTGAATGTAATTTCAGAAAAAGCGAGTGTTAATTTTTTGCCGGCTACACAGTAGAAGACACTATAGATACACCCACTGCCACGGCTACAGCTACGGGTACAGATACAGATACTGAGGCAGCTAAACACAGACACAAATGTATGTAGCTTAATGTGCTAACGCGCTGTGACATGAAAAATGATGGAGAGCATGCAAGTTGTGCCTCCACGCAGCTCCTAGAGAAGAAAGGGAGAAAGAAACGAACAACAAGCTGCAAATTGGCGACGTGTTGCAAGTGGGGTAAGGACGTATTGTTGCACGCAGGACAACAGGCGGCATCAGACAACATACAACAGACAGCAGACAACAGACATCGCATTGACAGGAGACAACAAAAAAGGCAACGCTGCGCATTGGAAGAGCATCATTTATCAGAGGCATCTGAGGCAGCTGAGAGCAGTCAGCATCAGCCAGGCATATGTGCGCCGGAGATGCTGGCATTGTGCAGTAGCCGGAGCCGGAGCTGAAAGGATTCTGCGCGTTCATTCAAAAAGCCATTAACCCTAATAATCAGCCACAAGGACCAGCCGCACAACACTCGCCCGAACCGCCGCCTGTCGATGTGCCTGCCCCAACGTCTAAGATCTAGGCAGTAGGCAATAGGCAATACGCAAAGAAGAGTTTTCTGAACAGAACAGTGACTGGACAGGATCGGAACACTAGGGAAGCTGCCACTAATGTTGCCCCCACGGCTGCCGGTCCGTCTGCGGCGGCCCATCCATCTGATGGAACTGAGTATCCTTCTGCTCTGCGTGCCGACGCTGCTGCTGGCCACAACACTCGAGCCAGGTGAGTACTGGTATTCGTTTACTATTCTGTCCCTAGCCCGTTTATGCTCCTACCAAGAATTTAATTAGGGCTATTTCTTCGGCCATGAGCACTCGCCGGAGGGCCTGGCGAGAGGCTTAGTGAAGTGCTAAGTAAATTAAAACCAAATTTATTCGCTCTGCTCTACTGCCACTGCCGCGCTGGCCCATATAATATCCAGTTAGCCCAGTTGCTGCTTAAACTCAAAGTAAGCAGCAGTTTATTTTAATATTTACTAAAAGCCAACAAATCGTTACAAGCCCCATCCTCATCCGCATCCACCGAATCCTCCTCAGTGCTACAATTAAAGCCCCTTAACGCGGAATGAAAGTCGGCATGGAAACTTTGCCAATTTACGGATTTATTATGCTAGAAATTTTATTATCATCGGCTTGCCGCTTGCCATTTCCTGCGTGCTGCTGAGAGATGGCTTGGCCAGGCACCTGCGGCACAAAGTTTCGACCGAAATTTTTCATTAACAAGATGGGCGATGCAGAAAAAAGTGTAGGTTGAGTTTTTAAATGTTTGCAATTCATTTCGTAAATGGGATGCAGCAGAGCGTTGTCAGGTAACACAGGCCCCTTCGAACATTGCTGAAGAATGGGAGAGCAGAGTTAGGAGAGGGATGGGGAAGACAGGCAGCTTTAAGCAGCTTTCTGAATGCAGCTAAGCAATTTAAATCTTTTGGCAATTGCTCTGCAAACAATAATTAATTTTTCATTCGCATCGCCTCGCGATTTGACCTTTCGCTAATTTACTTTGAATGGGCGGTAACGCCTAAAAGCGCGCCACACCCAAAGTATTCGCCCTCTCTCTTCCTGTCTGTATGTGTTCGTTTGCGTCACGTATACGCATCGTTAGACCGTCTAAGTTATGGCCAACACGTAACATTCACAAATAATAAGGATAATGAAAAATACACAGGGGAGAGATTAGCGTTGAGGGCACCGCGACCCACCTTGTTGGCGGTCGGTTCGGTTGCTGTTCTTGTGTGTAGCTGCTGCCCTTGTGGCTTTGGTTTTGACCTGAAAGTGCCACGCAAAGTCGGTGCTGCCGCGATGTTTCCTGTTGTTGTTCCGGCGGTCGAACGCGTTACGCATAAATTATCCGCCTCCAACGAGGACACCTTATCGAAACGCGCGGCCCGCTCATTACGCAGCCTCCAGAGGGAGATTGAAGGTGGAAGCACGGCGCCTCGGTGGTTCGGAGGGGGAGAGTGGCTGTGAAAACAAACGTAGCTCGCGTGACAATGCAAAAATTGAAAATTTATTGCGACGCCTTGTGGCTTGAAAATCGTTGTCGAACAAAAAAGTTTCCCAAATTGACTTTTAAAGTGCGCACAAAGCTGAAAAGGAGGGGAGCTACGAGGGTATAAACTTTGAAGCTGGAATGACAATGCGCTTATACTCTTATTGTAGGAGCATCAGGTCACGGCTAAACATCCCGAATGACACGGAATAAGAATGGAAGTTTTCCTATAAGATTAATATTTCATAGTGGCATTGCAACCCAACAGGTTAAGGGACCCAAACCAGCTACATAAAGGGCTTCCGCAGACATATGTAATACTGGGGCTTCTAGCGCAGCACGAGCTTCGCAAAATAATACCATAATTTTCACAGTCAATGCCAAAGGCGTACAAAGTCTGCTTAGCCCTTCTGGCTGACAGCCCGAAAAGGTCACATGCGCCTTCTTCCTTTCTGTCTGTGCCACATTTCCCTTACTCAAGGTCGCTGGGGCAGCACACGCGCACGCACTCGAGCATTTTCCAATCTTCCGTTCGCACTCCTTTTACCTTTGGCTCACTCGTTTCCATGCTGCTGCTGCTGCTGCTCCCGCTGTAGCTTCACAGTCAGCTATTTTACAAATTTGCTTAGCGGTTTTAAAATTGAGCTCATGGCGCATATGAGTCTGCGGAGTGCGAGGAGGTGTTATGCAAGACGATGCGATCTTTGGCTTGCGGTTTAAGGTTCAGGTTCAGGCTGTGCCATGCAGAGCCGGGCAGCTTAAAAAGTGCTAAGTACTTGTGGGCCAAGCGGGAAAAAGAGCGTCGACTTAAGCGGCTTTCGTTCTTAATACTCTCTCAAACACATGCATACACACACACACAGTGCCTGGCATTAAAATATTAGAAATACGCAGAACTAAAGACAAAGGCGGAGTCAACGACAGAGATGTATATGGAGATGGAGACAGCGACAGAGACAGATAAATAATAATTTGAAACATGACAAGTGCGCACAACTACAAAACCAACAAGGACAATAACCAGTGTGTCGTGACTTTGCGCCATACGGCTTAAACGGTCGAAGGGAGGGAGTGATAAAAGGATGGAGGAGAGGCAGTGTGGCAGTGTGGCAGTGGCACGGACGGGAGATTGACAAGAAATATTTATTATTAATAATAAACATGCGAGCATGCCAGCCGCACTTGCTGACTTCATTATTTATCGCATTTTAGTGATGGGTGGGCAGGGCCGGGCCGGGCCGGGCCAGGCGATATCGAATGAAAAATGCGATGAACGAAACGAAAACTTATGTATTGCCAGCTTTTTCTGCCACTTCCTCCGAGCCATCCGGTTTGCCCTGTGGGGGAAGCGAAGGTGTGAGAGGAGAGTGAAAGCAAGTGGGCTGGGCTTTGCTGGGCGGACTCTCTCGCTCTCTGTTGGCAGTGCCGCCGAGGACCTTTTTCTATCGCTTCTTGCGCAAGTTTTATTACTGTTGCCTACTTTCAGGCATAATATAATTCACACGCCTAAGCCGCAGGCAGCTGACATGCGCACGTAGGGCCACAGTCGGAATCGGATTGGGAGTGGGACTCGCTCAGAGCAAAGAGGATGCGTTTAAATACGCGGCTTTAGCCTTTTTATTAGCAGTGCGTGTTTTTTCACTATTATCGAGCTCCGCCCGCTCCACACGCCACGCTCTGCACCACAGCCACAGCCGTTGCCTCTGCCACTTGACCTTACGGTATAGCCATCCCACTGTGCGTTCTTTGGCTTTGTGTCTGAGTCTTAGTCTGAGCATTTACATTCCTCTTAACATTCGCAATATATTTCCACTTGGCTCTTGCCACATATCCAAAATGTATATGTGTACATATATTTATATCTTTGCATTTGTATGCATGGCAGGCCCACACACACACTCGCACCCAAACACATAAGATAAAGATATATGTATGTCCAAATACATATATACCAACAATTTATGTTGTCCTCTCTGACCGCCAAAGTTGACCTGACCCATCATAAAGCCGCCCCAAGTCTACTTGAGACAAGTGGAATCGCCTTTGTCTTCCTTGAAATATTTAATGCTATTAATAGTTTAAAGCTTCGTATGAAACGGCTGAAGCTGATACGATGCTCCCCGACACGTTCCCGAATATCATGAAAAACCTCATCCCATTTGGGGACAGTGGAACAAATTTAAAATCAATGCAGCGTGACCAGAACTTTGACGTCACTGCGGACTGCGGCCAAATAAATAACATCGGTGCTAACAAAGGACAATGCACACACAGATACGCACCAATTCAAGTACGCATACGCAAACACAAACACAAACCCAAGCACCACTGTGGCAGTGTGTCTGTGTGGCACTGCATACGCATGCCTAAAGTATGAACTATAAAAATTTACGAGGCAATAAAACTGTGAGCTCGCTTCGCTGTGTTTTATAGCCGCCAGCGAGCGTTGAGGAAGGTGGAGCCGTGTATTTTTCCCCAGCCTGCAAAAAACGACACTGCGCATTTTGTATTTCTTGGAACATTTCTTGTTCGAAATTTCGCAGAGCTCACATCGCATCCTTGGCTGCTGAAGTTTTCTGCATTACGTTTGCCTGATTGATTGAGTGAATTCCCCCTTTACAGCCGACTTGCCCCAACACCCACAGACACACTCCAATTGGCAGCAGCAGCGGATTAATAATAGATAGATAGTTCACCTTTCAGCGGCCATATTCCAGGGGCTTGAGCACGCAGCCGAAGCAGAGTAAAAGCAAAGTGTACTCAGCCGTAAATTAATCTTCAGCGGCTAGACGGACGGATGGTCATCTCCGGACTGTCCGACAGCGTTACCTAGCCAATCAAAGTTTCCTAATTAAAAAACACACTCAGAACTGAAAGTGTAGCCACTCTGACTAACATTAAAATTCGCTGCTTCCGAAAGGAAGCATCTTAATAGCGAACTAAGCAGCAAAACTTGCTCTGTTTCAACTGTTATAATACTCATCAATTTGCAGAAGTTGTGCTCTCCAAAATGTTTCCTTTTTCCATAAGTTGCAGAGACTCTTTGAAATGAAATGCTCCTGCCACAGTGAATTCACTTGGGCACAGCAGTCCGACTTAAACTGATTTTAATTACCAATTAAACAAATTTATATTTCAAACATTTTTCTAAGAAGTATAAGTATACATATATAAGTATCGTATGAGAGTGCTGCTTTCGGCGAAAGATTTTGCAATCCTTTTCAGATAGCAGATAAGTCAACCTGTATGGCGTGTCAGGCAAAATAAACACAAAGACAAATTAAAGAGCGAGTCTTTTGTCAAGTTTGAGTGTCTGCGTGCTCTGACGTACTTGTAGGGAGAAGGAGAACGGGAAATCGATAAACGCCATGTAGCGGCAATAATCATAAATAACACGCTGGGACCCCCGGTGTCAATCAAACGCTTTATTATTTCAACAGGCTTAGATTTTAGGTGAAATCTGAAATGAAGAATAGAAGATTGTGGCTGAGCTCGGGTCTGAGTTGGCTTTTTACTATTAAAAGGCCAGGCACATCCACTTGGCAGCTACTCCAGCCTTTCACTTTGGCTGATTGCATTGAAATCAAATCAATCGGATTTGTGGAACAGGACGAGAGTCCTGTCGGGGTACGGGAGGAACACTAAACACAATTTGCAATTGCACTTTCCACTCCCAACTCCACTCTCGAGTTGGTTTTGTCTTACGTCCTGGCTGCTCTTTCTTTGATTGCAGATCAGAAGTCAATACTCACAGATAACGACTGGAAGAAACTATGGATGCGCGGCGGTATAAATGCCGATTCCAAATTGGACAATAATCTCGACTCGAGCGACAGTCCAATGTTTGAGGATAGCGAGGTAAGTCCGACTGACGGACAGCCTTTGTCCCACAATCCCACAACCCCAAGTGCAATGAAGTGTTATTTGAATTGAAATTCGAATTGAATGGACTGCAAACACAGGTGCTACGTGCTGCAGGCAACCCAGCTCCATTACAGCAGCAAGGACAAAGCCAAGCAGGGTTCAGGAGTGTCCTCCGTCAAAATGTTAATTTTGCTGCACGAAAGTATGCAAGCAGAAGAGGAGACATTCTGACCATTGGATCGATGCCAGTCCAAGTCCAATAGCATCGGGATAACACTAATTACCAGCAGGCATGAGGATGGGCCCGATGTGGATCAGGATGAACCCGGCACTGCCAGTCACTGCAGGGCATTGCCCGGCAATAATTAATCTTTAGTGCTTATTTATAATTCATCTGCACTGGCTTCGAATCTAATTATAAAAATGGCAAGCCCACCGCAACCACAAGACAACCAGACACGGACACTGGCCCGGTCTCGGACCCCGTCCAGACCCAGACCCAGGCCCAGATCCAGATCAAGACAAAGCGGCCACTTCCGAATTCTCGGGCCCGACTCTGATGACGTAGGGCTGTCGTTGTCCTTGCTCTGGTTCTGGTTCTGGCTCTGGATCTGGCTCTGTTTTGCTGACTAATTGTTCGGCTTGGGGCGCGTTTCGTTTTTTATTCTCCCTTCGACGCCATAAAAAATGAACTTTTAACTTTTTGTCTTGTGTATTCTCTCTCTGTTTCTCCCCTTCTCACTTTCTCTCTTCTTCTGTGCTCACTCCAACACATCTCCAACAGCTGATGGCGCACAACACAACCGTCCAGCTGGGTGGCACCGCCTTTCTGGTCTGCAAGGTCTCCGGCGTGGATAGAGTGGGTGTAAATTGGGTTTGTTTTTGTCTCTTTAATTGTACCTCGTCGAACGACGACAACGACATGCCTTCATTGAGTTCTATGTGCACACAAAGCCCTGCTTCCTCCATTAACATCCTGCATCCTCCTCATCCCTCTAATCACTCCTCTGCATGCCATGCATACTCGTAGTTTGTGTAGCTATAGACAAGCGTTTTGTTTAGTGGCTGCAAAATTGAATCTCCATCTAGCCCAGCAGAATGCCAGAGATATGTACATAGGTACCAGTGGATAGATAGAGATCTGCTAGTAAGTACAGCTGCAGCTGCAGCTGCAGCAGCAGCTTTTCTATTTGCATTTTCCGCCCATTTTCCCATTGTCAGTCCCTCCCTTCCTCGTCCCCGTCATCGTCCTTCTTCCCACCTTCGTTGCCATTCACGTTTACGTTTTCGCTTTCGTTTCCCATTCTAATTATATGGCGCTTTCATTTTGTTTTTTTGAGTTTCCTCGACTGCTGCACGCAAAAGTCTAATTTGTTAAGCAGCCGAGCACGAACATCGGACCCACAAGAGCTTAATTTGTAGCTGAAAGCAAACGTTTGGCAGGATGACAATTTCGGTACACATTGTTTGACATTCTCCTGGGTTAACAGCCAATTAAGCGTCACAATGGACACGCAAGGGACGACGTATTGCAGTTGTTGGCAAAAATATCTAGTAATTAATTAGCCCACGGCTGTCCGCACTTTGTTCAGATCATCTGCGATTATGAATTGGCCATTAAATTGGGTATCTGCCATCGGATAGAAGATACCACCTAAAGCGGCTGTTGGTAGAAGAGAAAACTTTTTTGTCCCGGTCATGTTCATTTACATATTTTCATTCCAGTTTATGCATTTTCAGGTCAATGAATCTCCAATTAAATGACACGTACTCACACACTCGCATATTCCATTAGTTGTGTTTTTGTGTATGCATTAAGTTAGTGGTATTAAAAGTAGTTTTTCCCCCGGTAATCACATGTCGTATTTCATTTTAACACAAGCTGCCACCCAACGCAACACCCACAAAACGACTGCGTTGATTAGCTTTTTATAATCACATTCCTAGAGCACTCGCATGTTGACGCTAATTCCATAACAAGCCCCTTTTATGTTCCACACTGTCGGTGACTGTCGATAAATGTCGGTTATCGGACTGTAATGCTAAGTTATCAATTTGTTCGGATCGTTAATTGTGAGCCCGTGCGTGCCGCTCTCCTCAACAGAACCAAATTTCTTGGATACGTCGCCGGGACTGGCACATCCTCTCATCGGGGGCCCAGCTCTACACTAACGACGAGCGCTTTGCGATACTCCACACGCCCGGTTCCAACATGTGGACTCTGCAAATAAAGTTTGTACAGCGGCGGGATCACGGCATGTACGAGTGTCAGGTGAGTGGGCGTGGCAGGTATTGGGTGTGGGTGGCTCCATATTTTATGCATACGGCGCAGTTGAAAGTGAAATTTGCATACGCTCTCGTTTCCAGCTGTCTTTTATTCTTTCTGTCTGGTTATGTGTGCGTATACGCAATATTGAGGTTTTTGGGTTTTTGGGCTTTTTGGGCTTTTTGGTTGTCGCTGATTTCACGTCACGTCGATTTGTTCGCATGTGCATGATTTAATTGTAAAATGCAAATGAAGTTTTATATGCAAAAGTTCGATTTAAGGAAACTGCCCCAGGACATCTGGTCATCTGTCGTTGGCATTGGCTGTGGCTGTGGAATGCGCTGGCATGGGCTCTGCTGTGGGAATGGGGACTGGGGAATGGGAATGCGCATGAGGACATGGACATGTCCGCTTGTCCGCCCATCCGAAACCATGTGACTGGCAGGCCAGAGGCTGGCACGGAACAGTAAGGAACATAAGAGCAGAGCACTCGCAAGAGGAGGACGGGACCGACAGATAAACTGGACGACACTGACAAATTTTGGCCAGTGACTGCACCACAGTCGCAGCGAATGTGCTGCAGCGCGTGCGACTGAAACTGTTTCTGGCACTCGTCGAAGTAATGCACAAGTAAACCCCAAAGTCATGCGAATGCAAATATGGAAAGGGCGTGTTTGTAGCCAGGAAAAAAAAACGAAAGCAGCTTAGGAGAAGCAGTGAAAAGGGTGAGATGTGGGATCCAACGACAACTAACAGAAAAGCAACAAAGTTAGACACTACTGAAATGGACACTTGACAGTAACTCTGTTTGTGCAGCAGCACAAGTGCCACTCCTGCCTGGGCTGGGGCTGGGGTTCGGGCTTGGGCTTGGGCTCGGGCTGCTTTGACTAGATGGATATACATAGACGGAGGGTATAAGGGCTGGGGATGGGGAAGCAGTTTCGGAAACGTAGCTTCAATTTCAAAATTGTTTGCATGCAATTTCAATATGAGAAGCCGCATACCAGGGCCCGAGTCAGCGAGTCAGTCGGGGCAGCCAGCCAATGTCCTCTCCGGAGTGGAGTGAGACGAGAGCTGCATGCAAATATGCCGAAATGATTATTTTTCCCTCTCCATTGCTGCTGCAGAACTAGCAGTAGCAGTAGCAGTAGCAGAAGCAGAAGCAGCAGCAGAAGCAGATCCGGAGCTGCTGTAGCGATTGCTGCCTGCCGGATATTTTGGAGGAGCAGTTGGGACATGTAGGAAGCGACGGAGCACTTCCCCACTTATACAGAAAACGTTCGTTTTTGTTTCATTTCTGCGTGCCAAATTGAAATTGTTTGATTTGCATTTCAATGAGTGCAACATTTCTTGCACTCACAACGATTTCTCGACAGTGTGCGGGCTAGAAGCTGTTTCTCGATTCCTGCTTAGAGTTTACTGGGGCATTAAGACTGGAGTTGATTACGAATACCAATCGCACTCAATTGCCGCACTTGCTCTCTGCTTTCTTCATAAAACATACAGGTCTCGACACCGACTGGCATCATTTCGCACTTTGTGAATCTTCAAGTGGTTGTGCCGGAGGCCTTCATACTCGGCTCTGGCGAGCTGCATGTGGACATGGGCTCCACAATCAATTTGGTTTGCATTATTGAAAAGGTAAGACCCAGCCAGAACTAGACCATGAGACTGCAGAGTGGAAAATCCATCTGCATTTTCTCCGTGCTGTCGGACTGGAGCTCAACTTTTCTCTTTTCGCCTTTCTACCACAGAGCCCAACACCACCGCAGTACGTGTACTGGCAGAAGAACGATCGGCTCATCAACTACTACGATGCCAGGCGAGACATCTCCATAGAGACCACACCGGGGCCGAGGACCCAGAGCCGCCTGATCATTCGTGAGCCGCAAATCACCGACTCGGGCAACTACACCTGCTCTGCCAGCAACACGGAGCCGGCGAGCATATACGTCTTTGTCTCAAAAGGTACGGGTAGTAAATGCAAGAGACGCTGTCTGAATGGGAGTGGGGCCACAGTCTGGTGGCTATATTGAGTTTCCCCTTGATTTTAGCATTTAAATAGACATTGAGAGCATTTTGATAATGATGATAGGACGTGTAAATGAAAATATGCAAATTGCGCGATGCCTGCAGCTTATTAAAATTAAAATGCCAATCCCCGGGAATGGGACGATGCAAATGCACGAGCAGTGGCGCTTCTGCTACTGCTGCTCGTAATTGCAATTTCTCTCGCTACCGCTCTCGCTCGAACGAAACAAATTCTAATTCGGATTCAAATTTATTCCGGCTGTCACTTGCAGGCGACAATATGGCGGCCATCTCCAGGCGGAAGACTTCCTCGGCCGATCGCCTGGCGCACATATTTAGGTCGATGCTGGCGCCCTGTCTTCTGCTGAACACTGTAGTTGTGAGGTAAGTGCGGCTCAGTCAGCTGCCAAAGCAATTGCATCAAGTCGCTAACTGCATGCAAATTCTATATCTTTTATCTCTTGTTTCGCCCCCTCTCGCATCCTCAGACGCATCTTCCTGACCTAAGCACATGGCTGGGAAAGCTGGCCAGCTTTCCACGTGGAAACGTGCGAAGTGCTCGCACGATTACAAACAAAAATCCTATTTAAGCTATTTCAGTGTTAGACTTAAACTAAACGGCCACAGCGGGCGGTGCAAGATAAATAACTAAACGAAGAAACGAAAAACAAAACCAAAAGAAGTAAAAAGAAACCAAAGGTAGAATAATTGCTAAGCTAAGCTCGGTGCAAGCTTCAAAATCAAGTGTAAAAATCATGCAAACCCAATCACAGTCAAAGTACGTTACGTTTTTATGGGTATCGGTTCTCCTCTTACGGTACCGATACTCGTATGCGAGTATGCATTTACTCGTATGTATGCATGTGTGTATGTATGAGCATCCCGGAACGTTGAGATAAGCCTTAGTTTACATAGTTGGGAACACACTTCCCCCACCCCCGCCCCAATGATTGTGTACTGACCAGTATGTTGACGAATTTTGATATGTATTTGTATGTGAACAACAGTTATGAATAGGTTTTTGTTAACTTGTTCACCATTATACTCCCCTCCGTACTCCCTATTTACCATTGAATGAATCCGGATGCTGCGTTGTTTTTACTGGCACTCGTATGAAATAGTTGAACCGAAAATGGATACGAGTATTTTGCTATAAAATGTCTCAGTCGGAGTCAGTAGAATGCCTCATTCCGCATCACATCACATTACTCTCGTACGGAAACGAAATTTGCATAAGTAGCCAATTTCAGTCCATTAAATCAAGGTATACATACAGACAGGCATACAAACATGTATGGAGACATAAAACACAGACATTAAAACACTATTACAACTGTTACTAATTGCAAATTGAAAACTAAAAGTATAAAAGATGGCAAAGGGCACGTCCAGCCCATAGAAAAGGCCACAACAAAAATAAAAAATCGGAACGATTTCAGAGCCGAGAACAACAACATCAACCTATGATAATTAATTTTGTTATTAAGTTTGTAAATAAATTTCATTGCAAATGGCATGGCACCCACACATACGCACACACAAGGACACCCGAACAGAACAATTCAGAGGCAGAAAAAAGCGTAATTTAAATTGTGTACATAATCATTGAAACCGTACTCAAAAAAATGCAGGCTGCAACTGACTGAAAGTGGGAAAAATTTGAGTTTAGTCAGGCCCAAGGTATGCATTATGGGGGTTTAAGCTGTCAGAATAAAGCTGTAATTAATTGCAAGCACTCATTAAGGGTAGAGCGGAGGAGGGAGACACCTAGCTACATATAGATTAAAAAGCGTAGGATAATAAAACTTCATCAGTCAGCCAAATCCGGGAATTCCTTCAATTCATCTCGTTCGTATCTTCAAAAAGTGTCCATTTAATTTCCCACATTCTCCGGACACCCATCTTCACTCCTAACATCACCTAAACACCTCAATCGATCAAGCCAGGAAAGCAACAAACATCTACGTAATATATAAAGTATGTACAACCTCCCGACTGTTTCTTACACTCTGCCCTCTGTCGCAAGGGGCAGCAGTCTACAAACATATACGATATATCACAATGCGGCAGTTTCCCCGAAATGCAATCGGTGTGTTGTCAGATTTAACCAACCAACAAAGAAACAAACAAGAAAAAATAACTAACATTCGTTCAGTGTCAGTACGTAATTTACAACATAAAGCTGTTGAGAGATACTAATTGAAGTTTGAATAGATTCCTTAGTGTAAACCGAAACCAAAATCTTAGCGTAATCATTGAACCATAGTAAAAATATTGAAGATATTGAGAAATCCGAAAACTGATAGTTACATTCCCAGAGTCTCCTTGATGTGTTTGCATGTGTATGCGTATGCCCAGAGCCCGTTGAACAACTTCTACTCATTTTATTGGATTGAATTTAATCGAATTAAATTTAATTCAATCGGATTGTATGGAACATTTAGTTGTTTTCCACTGTTAAGCATTTTTCCACTGTAAATATTTTTTATTAAACCTTTATTGTGAATGGCTAATAGTGGCCAATCGATAATTATCGATTATAATTAATTAATTATAATAAATGAAACCCACATATGGCAAAAAACAAAAAATATTATAAATATTGTACTTTAGATAAGAAGCGGAAACATAGCGATGGATAATTAAATACAGAAACAATTTCAGAAGCGATTCAATTGTTTTCAATGTAAATGCTCGTGCGCATAAATGTAAAATTTCAACTTGCAACTATTTAATGAATATGAATTTAATAATAATAATACATATTAATAAAAGTAACCAAAACCAAAACGAACAAAAGATACATTGTGCTCGCACACACAGATACAAAGAATGAGAAACAACAGATAATACTGGATAGAAAAGGGGAAATATGATGGAAAACAAAACGAATCAAATGCATTCGAATAAATCAAGTGATTATCATGAGAAAATAAATGTAATTTAAATAATAACTAAGCTCCTCTGTTTTTTTGGTATCTCCGGCGGGGGGAGTTCTAAGGGCAACATATTTTGTTTTTGTTTTAGGTAAGTACCGGAATGGCAATTGGCAATTGGCAATTGCCAATCAGACCAGTCCGACGTCCACTAAACTTCTCGACAGATGCCAATTCGAGGAGCATTGTGAGGACGGCGCAGGTTGACACGCCATAATTGGTCTCCAATATCCACACAAACTGTAACAGTTGAATAAGAAAGGGCGCTACTTATTTGTGGAACTTAGTACTTTTTTGGAACGGCGCGCCAATTATTTTTCGACATTTTCCTTAAGCCTGGCAGTTTACTCTCTGTCATCATTTCATTCAGCAACGCCCTCGTCGCGGTTCATTTTGCCAGCAAAAATGTTGCACTTGGGCACACACACACAAATATGTACATACTTAAACACAACCACCTCCACACTCTTGAATGTTGGCCAAAATCAAATGCATTGAACGCTGGCGCTCTAGCCAAGAAGCAAACTTTTGTGGCCACCAAAGTTTTCGGCAAATCAAATGAACCCCGAGTAAATTTGCCATGCACAAGTGGCAGGTAGGGCCGGGTCTGAGGCAGGCCAGGCTAAAAAGGAAAACATTCAACTGAAAAAGTAACGGAGAAATTTCAACAAGAAATTATAGTGTACACACACCAACAGGGAGCCGGGTCCAACGAATCCTTCTTTCTTTTTCATGCAGCCAAACGGGCGGAATTGGCTGTTGACAGCCCAGAATCGAGTGTGTCGAAATACTTCGACGTTTGAGAGATTGAAAAGTTTGCCACTTTTTTCTTTCGATTTGCCGTTTTGATTAAAAAGTTTCGCACGAAACCATCCCGACAACTCAGGCCTTTCCACAGTGCTACCTAATTTCAACGCCCTCCTTCCAGTGCCTACCGAGTGCTAAGGTCGAGCAGATAGACATATTTAGGCAAACATGCAGAGTTGCACATGGGTACACATGGGAATACATACATACATTCGAGCGCACACACGGCCACAGCCCACACGGTGACAGCTGCTAAGCTAAGCTTTTGGCCGCCTGTTTGCTTAAAAGCTCAGTCCCGTGACATCAATTTATGGTAAAGCTGTAAAAATTGTAAATAATCGAATTTTCCAATGCATTAACTTTAATGGCATTAAAAAACCCCTGACTCTCTTTCCCGCCTCTGCCGCACAGCTGATGCTGCAACATACGCGACAACATTATTTCATAAATATTTTCCTTAACAGCCTCGACTTATACCTTTTTTGCATTCCCCCAATAGGAAGACAGTAAAAATCCTCAAACTTCTTATCAACGGGAACTGATTAAAATCTGATTGGTCAAACTAAATCATAAAGCAATGGGACTGAACTTAAATTTTAGACACATGAAGTGGATATACATAAAAAATCAGTCGCAGCAATGTATTTGCTGGTAATCAATTCTTAATCAGTAGAATTGAGGTGCAAATTACAGAGCAAGAATTTAAGTTTCTACTCAGTAAATGTAGTATGGAAAACGGATGCGTCTTCCAATTAAGGACGCATTTTTCATTACATCCGCTCAGTTGGGTAGGCATGCGCTGCAGTATTTGCTTCCCACGTTCCGCATTATCATTCATTAGGAGGTAAAGGTAATGGCAAAGCCAACGGGAAGCCACATCAATCACAGTTGAAAGGACGAATGTGCACACAATAAATTTGAAAATAACTTGCAATAACTGTAATCAAGTGTGTTGGGGCAGCACCCACCCACCCCCAACATGCGGGATAGCAACTTAAAAGAAAGGACGGGGAGAGGAGGGTAGTGGAGCAACAGCGAAACAGAACGCAAAACAATCATTCAAATTGCGCATACGCTCCGCGGTCACAGGTGCAATCCGACAAGCATTTGCAGGCTACCAGGCATTAACCTGTCATGTTTCCCGCTGATGCTAGAAATTATTGTGCATTTGTGTAGATCCGTGCCGCACGGGCGTAGTACTAGTCGTTGTAATTGATTGGAAAGCACTGGTACTTTGTTCTGCTCGGTTTGTTTCGGTTTGGTTCGATTCGGTGGAGCAAAGCTCAGCGCTCGCATACAAAATCTGCCCTTGGCCTGCCTTATACCCTCGCCCCGTCTATCTAAGCCCCCATCTGTATCTGTCTCCGACTTCTGCTACTGTTGATGCCCCTGCCCGGCGCCCCCTCCAGAGCAATTGTTTAAAAGCTTTTGCAATATTGCTGGCCACAATGTGGCAAAAGTTTTTCCAGCTGAAAAATGCGCGTATCTCGTGTTTAGCACTTCATATTTATTACCTGTCGAGTGCACTCAAATCACTTGCAGTTGTTGTTAGGTCATTGGAAACGGCACTGCGTTTGGCTGAGGTTGGGCCGTGCTCTCGGCGCCAGCGGTAGGGCAGCAGTTGGTCAGCAAAACTTTAGCCCTTCAGTGTTTTGATAAGCATAATTGATGATGCAACCGTGCAGAGCATTGAGAGGGTGAGAAAAACGCAGAACACAGAAGCACAGGCACAACATCAAGAGCTGGAGCAGAGGCAGAGGTGGAGGCACGAAAACGCCATAAAATAAAGCCACAAGCCATTTACGTTGCTGCCCATACCCAGTAACAGAAGAAATATTTTTTCACATATTTTATAGCACATTTGTGTATTGAGTGCAAGTGCTGAAAAAAGTTATCATCAATGGCTGCCGGGCGCGCTGCTAGGAGTGCATCATCACGTCCATGCTGTATTTCACCCTGCATACACACACACACACAGAAATACACACACGCACACTTGCCCTTGCCTCCCTTCACTGCCACTTGGGTGGACTTGCCCACTTGCCCACTTAGACGAAGGTCGAGCAAAAAGTGCAAGTATAAATTTAATTTTATGTTCTTGGCATAATTAAAAAAGTTACCCGCATACACTCGTCGTATGCAAACGGCTCTGAGTGGTATAATGTAAAAGCACTTTATTATTTTAGAGTACAGAAACAGAACGGGAACACAAGGGAGTGAGCGAGAGGGCAGTATAATTTGTTTGCTTAAAAAGCTACAAATTTAATATGAATAATTGTTTGTAAGGAAGAGATTAACAAGTTGATGATGGAGGTATGCAGATATGTACGGGTATAAACGAGTTATAGAGTAGAGAATAAGGATAGACACCCGATCCAAATAAACGTTGTCTACTTTGGGGGCACTCTGAGCTTATTCCAAACTAGCAAGGCCACAATCAACTGCCTCATCATACATTCATGAACAGAACCAAAAGATCCAAAGCCATATTAACTGACACCCATTACTCATTAAAGCTTAGCCCTTTATACAGAGATTCACAGATGTGAGTACGAGTATATGCATTTTTTTTAGGTAAGTCGAAATCATTAATTTTAATGAACAGGATATTGACTGCACTGGGATCAGGGTATACTCGTATATACTAAGCTAAAAGCCATACGTATGGTGTGCCCCAGCGGAAACGTACACAGACACACGCCAGAAATTGCGGCACGGACATGAATACGCACATCGGTACCTCGGCGGCAATGGCAACTAATGAGCGTCTCCTGGGTGCGGGTGCGACTCCGACATTTGCAGATTGCATGTCGCCAAGCGGAACTTAATTGACACGCCAGCCATCAATGTCAGATAGGAGGCATGGGCATTGGCATGACATTTTATATGACCTTGGCTTGGAATTTCAATAAGAACCCAGGGGTTGCATACTCACTTTATCAGCTCCGCACCTTGCACGTATGTAAGCTGTACATACGCTTCCGCCAGCGGCTGGCTGACCAATTTGGAGTCGTTGAACTGTCTGTCCACCAAGAGAGGGGGGTTTCTCTTAGGTCATTACATAAGCCCGGGCTGCCAGTTGGATATTCTTTAGTACCTACCCCCCGTGGCCATCACCCGTCCCGCACGTGCTTGTTATGCAAACAAGCTGCCATTATTCAGACGCTTGTCAGGAAGCCTTCGACATTCTGTACTTATAATTTGTTGCAAGGCAAATAAACAATGTCTAGAAGTGGCAGGGCGGCAGATGGGGGCAGGGGGTGGTGGATCAGACCTTTCTGAGCTGCATGCAAGTCGAATCCGAGAGAGGCCGGAGGGAGTCTAGTGTTTTGTGATGGCATCATGCATGTTTTCCATAACCCTATCCCATATTTTGCGGCATGCAAGGGGTCTGGTTATGGTGCTCGTGCTCTTAAGAAATCAAATATGTAAGAGCCGCACACACACAAAATTCAATACACACGTGCATATGTACTGATATACACTCATGCAATGGCGCTTTGAATTTCCGCTTCCGGCTATTTTAATATTATAAGCGAAGGCATTTTGTGCCGTGCTCAGCAAAAGAACCTAAAGCAAAAGAATTACCTGGAGCTGGAGCACCAGCTGACGGACATTGCACCATGGGGAATTTGACCACTTTTTGTGGCAAAAACTAATAACTTCAAAACGAAACAATATTTGTATACCCGGTACTCGAAGAGAAAATAGGGTATATTGTATTTGTGCACAAAAGTGGATTTGTGTATGTACATATATATGTACATATATTCTTCATCATCATCAATAGCCGAGTCTATCTGTCTGTCTGTCCGTCTGTCCGGCCGTCGGTTTTTTTTTTTGGTCACCAAATTTTTTTCTCCACACTGCTGTGTAGTTTTACTAAAAGAAAGAAAGAAAACTAAAAACGCAACTCCGTTGGGAATGACCATATCTATCAAATAACTGCATTGGGATTAGATTGCATAATTATTATAGCCAGAATGAAGAAATTAATTTTTCAGCAATTTTTTTTTATTTTGTACACATTTTCTCATTCCACACTCTACTTCGTTTAGTGTGCAAGGGAACGGTGGCGAGATAAAAGAGCGTGTTGACGTTACTAGTGATGTAGCTGTATATGACATGTGTAGAAACAATTTAAAATGTCTAATGTAAAGTTACAAAACACAGATATACCAACTGAGTACCGGGTATAAAAGTTGTGACGCGTAAGAAGCGAATCACACGAACCTCTCGTTTGATTTAGTTGTTTGACGTACAATCATTTTAGTCGGTATTAGCATAGGTATTTTTCTTCAGTGTAAAATCTTATTTTCTTTAGTTTTTTAATTTTATCAAACAAAAAATGACAGAATTATGTTGGGCAATGCTATGTTTAATATAAGAGGCGTGCCAGGATTTTTAAAAATTCATTTTTTTTGTAATTTAATTAATTTAAATTTAATTTATTAAATTTAATTAATTTCGCTACAGTGAAATGAAACGATGAGTCCAGGTACAAATGTTACTAAAAATTTTGAACTCAAAAAGCGAATCACACGTCCCTCTCGTTTGATTTAGTTGTTTGACGTAAAATCATATTAGTCGGTATTAGTATAGGTATTTTTCTTCAGTGTAAAATCTTATTTTCTTTAGTTTTTTAATTTTATCAAACAAAAAATGACAGAATTATGTTGGGCAATGCTAGGTTTAATATAAGGGGCGTGCCAGGATTTTTAAAAATTCTTTTTTTTTGTAATTTAATCGCTACAGAGAAATTGGTTGGTCGCAGACGATGAGTCCAGGTACAAATGTTATTAAAAATTTTGAACTCAAAAAAGAGTTGTTTGCCGAACGAACACTAGAAATATAAATATTTTTAAATATTCAAAAATAGAGTCGGATTTTTACTTTGAGTTCTCTGTATACTTTAAAAATACTACAGAAATACTTAGTGTCTTTGTATTAAATTATTATATTTACATATTTATATCATTATTATAATTTTACGATTCTACACGAATTTACCCAACCTGCACATTTTCTTTCGATTTGTTTCACGTTTCCCGTGAAATTTATCAAGTTGATCGAAAAACGGTTCAGCAAATCTCCTAGTCTTATCTCAGAAGATCCTTTATCCTTCTCAAAACTAGTGACAGGTATTACCGCTTAAATGCAAAGGAAATTTACATTCTCTCTTCCAATTTTGTTTTCCGCTTAGTACAACAATGCAAAACAACTCAAAATTTCCAAACCTTAGGTTTCGCCCTAAAAAGTTGAATTGCAGAGAAAGTGCACAAAATTGCTGTACATTCATAAAGTAGTCTGCCGCCACGAGGTGTCACTCTTTTTGTAACCCTTTTCAAAGAAACATTTTCGTAACAAATTTATGCTTCTTAATCGACTGGACACAACGCAAAATATATAAAAGAATATAATCCAAGTAAGTATAAAACACATAATTAAAACCTCTAACATTGGTAAGCTCTGTTAAATTTTGGACACATAACTTAGAAAATCAATGTTTTCGTGTACATCGCTGTTAGAAATACATTATTTCAGGACCTTTTCATAAATGGGTTTTTGACAAAAAAATGGTCAAGTCCCCCATAGTGCTTGCACGCATGAACATTTGTGTATGTGTTCCTGTGTATGTGAGAGAAAGAGAGAGACAGAGAGAGAGAGAGAGAGAGAGAGGGTATAAAACAAATGCTTATGCAAGCAAAGCGACAACGAATTATGAAAAAATATTACGAATCAAGCATTTTTCCTTCGTTTTTACATTTAAATTAATAGCCCTGCGGCCGTTTGTGTTTCATTTTCAGAATCGCATAAAATATTTCCCTACGCTAAGATGGCTCTATCGCCATCCTCGTCATTGTCATCATCATCATTATCGTAGTGTCCATACTACTGCCATTAATAGTGCAGTCTTACATGCGCCTCCTGGGCTTCATGTCGCTTCACTTCGCTCAACTTCGGCTTCGGTTTAATTGCCGAAGCGAACTTTGCTTTTATGTTTGACGGAAAAATCCACTTTGCTGTGATATCCGGGACAAAGCTGTGCAAAATTAAACAGCTCGCCAGGTCGAGAGGGCCCTGCCGCAGCATTTAAAAATGCGCCAGCAAGGCCAAGTAGTTTATATTCATTGCAAACTCGCCTTCGCTGGAGCTGGAGCTGGCGCTGCACTAACTTCAGCAAAGATTTACGGCGAGCCCTTAGCCGACTCATTTCAACTGCATTTACTCGTATGTGGCACGTTGCTGAGGTGTTAAATTTGCCATTTGCATAATTGATAAAGTCGGGGGCAGATGAGGGGACAGTCTCAGATGGAGTCCGACACCAACACCGACCTAGAAAGAGGTGGGGACGTAGACGCGGACGGACACGGAGTTCAAGTTGCTGGCAAAGTGCTTAGCATGCTCATTTCTGAATTTCTGACCTATGTCGGATGTCCGCATGTCATTCTCATGGCTCTGGCCCCGGCTTGGCAGCTCCCTTGGCTCCGTTTTCTTTGCCGCATAATTCAGATTTGAACCATTATGGGCCACAAACTTCCGGTCGACCTGTGTGAAGCGTCTCTGACGGTGTGCTGGTGTGCGCCATTCCTGTTGGCTGAGAGCCACTCCACTCCACTCCACTCCCACTTTCCATTCGCATTGGCATGCGGTGAGTGCATAAATTTTTAGCACAACTTTCTCACGTAGCAACTGCAGCAGTCCGAGTCCTGGACATTGAGCTGCCTTCCTCCACTTTTGATTTAGTGACGACTTGGAGCGGGTATTGCACTGTGCATCTGAGCCTGTGTTTGTGCTTGGGAGAAAAGTTTTATTAGTTTGTGCATTGTTCGGCACTGCCAAAGGAAGAAAGAAGCCTCAACTGCAGGCAAGTCGACTGTCGCATCCGAACTTCTGTTGGAAAGATTCAACTTTGGTTATGAGTTCCCTTACCCGAACCCTTACCCTTACCCTTACCGCTACATTACCCAGATGGCTTTGTCAAAACAGATCGGAGCTGAGCAACTCAGGTGTGGCCTTCAATCTCTCTCAATTCCCTTAGCCATTGGCATCTGTAAACTAGTACAATTGAGAAATAAAATACAGATGTATTGTACGAAATATCTTAGCAGTGACTCATTAAAGAGCCTTATTAGAGAGACTCAAACTAACTGGCGATAAAATGAAGCGTGAGAGAGTGCGGAAGAGACCATAAAACAGAGGCAACTTAATAAAAGAATGTCCAGTGAGTTTGGTAAGGAGCGAAGCCATCCCACAGGAGTCGTCAACACAATTCATCATCTTGAGAGCCGCAAAGTTTATTTATGAGCCCCGCTTCGGATAAACTGTTTATGTATGCTCCAGAGGAAGCGAAGCGAGGATAGAGAGCGCACGCCTAGGGCCAATATTGACTGGGCACAAACTTAACCAAGTTGGACTAGGCAAAATATATTTTAAAGGCAACCAAGAGGGCGGTCTAGTCATCTATTCTACCTTAAATTATTCATTCGCTGTATAGTATGTCACTTTCCTTGGAAATCTTTCTATGGTGGTGAAGTGACAGTCGTCAGTGCGTGCCTGTGCCTAATAAACTGAACGCAAAGCTCAGGGCCTCCTCCTCCTCCTCCGCCTCCGCCACCGAATCCGCATCCATCATTCGCAGGAGTGAGAAATTACG